TTTTTTTTATTTTTTTAACTTATCACTGTGTCTATCTGAAATGGAGCTAGAAAGAAGTCCTGGTCAAACTATCTCAGTGACTTTGCTAATAAAAGGGTAAGGAGTTTGTTCTCCTCCTAGGATAAGATACCTATTTTACACTGTTCTTATTAGAAGTTAAGATTGTGGAAAAAGATTGATTCATAAATTAATTTTAATTTTCATATTACAAAAATAGAGCAACTTGCAGACCTAAAAGTATATTTTCTTGCAGATAGTAGCAACTTCTCTACTTTTGCTTTGGTATTTGATCATTGTTTTTGTAATGGTTGATCATAATGATTTTGTTCGCTCTTTGGCTCTAACGTCCTGTGTCAGATCTAAGCCTTTCCTTAGCTGTACAGATGTAAATGGGTGTTACTGAGTGCAAGTGTGTACTTGTTTAATTCAGCCCCTTCCTAATGTTAATCCTAACATTGATGTCAGGTTCATTCTACATCTTAGTGTAAAAACCTGATAGATGGTGGAAACATTTCTATTGTAAGAAATGTATGTGACAAAATACCCGGGTTTGCCAAGGGCAAATAAAGGCAAACGTAGCTGCTCTTGGCAGTGTTTTCGTAATTACAGTTGTCAGCTAAGTTTCTTGGCTAACCACAGAATTTGTGGACTTCTAAGTAGACTTGGTATTCATTCAACTTAAAAAGCTAATATGGCTTTTTGTCCGTGAAAGGTGCATCTGTACCTCATTGTTGTTTCATGGATCCGATACAGGTGGTGAAAATTAGATGACAGCATCTGTAAAATACGTAGGGACCCTTAAAAATACTCACTGTCCTTCAAGCCAGAATTCTGTCACAGTCTTGGCAGGTCTGGGGGAAAAGAAAAAAGTTGTTTTTCTTCTCATTCATTCAAATTCAAAACAATAAAAATTCCAAGTTTCTTTTCTGATCCCAAAGTAAGATCGCTACTACTACTACAGAGTTCTCTTCATATGTCATTAATTTTACCTATTAGTAAGAATCTATCAAGATAGAAGAATAAAACTATAGAAAAGTGCATCATACAGATCTTTCACTTACTAGATTAAATAGTTCCTAATAATTGTAAGCATTGCCTATATTCCTTAAAGAGATACTTATATCCTGATATATTTGTAGTGACAGCATCAAATTTAATTGATATGAAGGAAGAGGCTTTTCTTTTTTCCAGTGTCTGAACTGGCTAAGAAAACTGCTCATACCTTTGCAGTACATTTTCTGTGAGAGGAGTTAACCTTCTTTTGCTAATTGTTGTAGATAAGGCCTTAAAAGACCTGGTTCCTCAGAGGGCTGCACATTTGCTATGGTAGCATGCAATATTAGCAGAGCTTTCCTTGTTGGTGTTTAAAGGGATCTCATTGTTAGGAAGTGAATAGTTGGGAATAAATGGAAAAAATAAGCACCAAAAGCTAAATTATTATTCAGGGAATATTATGAGTGCTACAATAAAAGTAGCTAATGTTTCCAAGTGAAAGCTGAGATTTAAGTCTTCACAGATGATTTTATATGGTGACAGTTTCAGTATAATATAACTGGATTTAATTCTTAGCAAATGTCAAATAATTACTGGAGGCTACTCATTCTCCAGTTGAAAATATTACATTATTATAAGGTTTTATTCCAATACCTTACACAAATGGCAATATGAAAAATAACACTAGTGTTCCAGTTGTCGGTCTTCTTAAACTAAATTCCTGACCTGCTGGTGCACATGCTGACATCTGTATGCCATTTTCATTTGACTAGGTTATAAAATATTTTGATTTTTAAGCTCATTTGAGAAGAACACAATTAAAAGGCTCCATATTTATTACTCTGCTGTATTTACTACTTAGAAAATAGAAGTACCTTTGTTTATCTCTCAATCTGTCCCTTTTTCCTCTTTTTTATTGTAGTAGCCGCCCCTTATGTAGTCAGCTGTAGCAGGGACCAACTCTCACCTGCCTTGTTCTGCCTCTCACCACATCTTGGGGTGCTGTGACTGTCCTCTTACTCTTCTGCCACTCAGCAAAGGCTTCCTTTCCTCCACTAGTCTTTTCACCCATGCCAAGTCAAAGGTAGCATGAACACCTCTGTACTGTTGTTACTGTCTTTTCAGCTATGAAAGAAGTCAGTTGGCATGTCAATATCTTAAATGCCATCTCACAGCTAAATGCAAGAGAGCAGATACTGATGGCTTCCACAACCTTGTGTATGAGCTCTAGGCAGTTGCAGTTGTGAAAAGAAAGTGCATATGTCTACAGCTGAGTACCTGAAGTTTTTCAGTTTCTTTGCTGAATATAAAATGAAGAAGAGAAATATGGACTTAACCATAGAGCCTCACAAATTTGGCCAATTAGTGTCTCAACTGTAGCTCCCAGTGCTTTCTCCTTATGTTGCATCAGTTATGCATGCCTTTACTGTTCCAGCTCGCAGAGTACAGCTTGTCTCCATTGTCCGCCTGGATGCTGACAAAAGGCTACTGCCTGGTACACTGCTGTAGTAGTGGGTACTGTCCCAGATGTGATGCTCTTGGGGCCACAGGAGAGTGGAATGAGTGGAGCTGCTGGTGTATGGCTGGCTTCAATACGGAATGGTTTTCCCTTTTTTATTTCAGATAGTGTTTTCATCAGGCTTACAGCCTGACTCATTTCCTCCTATAAGGCTTCCTGCTATGTGGGTCTCCCAGAGCTGAAAAAGCTGCTGTAGCTTAATTCCACATTGAAATACGCTGTACAGAGATGGAGACATTTCAGAGCTGAGATCTGAACCACTTAATTACCTAAATAGCCATTCATTATAATGCTCTGCAGCCCTGCGCAGTGTTAAAATGGTGTTACGTCGCACTGCTCAGGATTCAGCCTTACTGGATGTCATGATTTTTCCTTGTTTTCCCAAACCATATTAGTCTGACTTCCTTTATCTCAACTGAGACAAAGTAGAGTATTTAATACATCCTTTGAGCTAGAATGTATCTATCTGTGTACCTTTAGAGAGATATATATATGGGTGAAAATACATATACATGCACTGCACAAAAATGTATTCATCCACAGTAACAGGTGGTGCTGGTAACACCTGTTGCTGGGGTCACTCAACACTCCGGTATTAAAAACCTAATTTTTGTTGCTTATAACTTTTGTCAAACTCAAACATTTGGGTTGAAATGTTATGTGCCAGGTGTCTGCCTTAGGCTGATTTGGGGGCAGGGAGAGGAATTTATCATCAAAACTGTTATTCCCAGTTCAGGGAGCAGAAGCCAGGGCACTGTTTTGCTTGTGCTGGAAAAGGAACTATTGCTGGTTGAGATGTTTCAGCAGCTTCCCCCATCTGAAGCCAGACTCTGCCAGTGGAGACCTCCTGCAGCTGGACATGTCTTTTGCCAGCATTATGGAAATTCGCTGTTTTACTGAGAAAGCACCTCTGTCTGGCTAAATTACGGGCCTGTGAAAATGCTTGGTAAAAGTTTGTTGATACCTGCCCACCAGCTCCATCATGTCTATTTCCAAACAGCAGTGCTGCACCCGTGACCTTTTGGATGCAAGATGCCCATCATGTGGCAGAGTAAGCCTTGGAGTCTGAGCATGGAGCAGAGGAGCCTGCTGCATGCAGGGCACCAGTCCTCAGAGCAAATACAAGCAGCTCAGATTGTGCTTGCACAGTGTGACTAAATAGAAGGGAATAGTTGGCTGGAATCCAGAGGAGCTGGTGATTAAGGAAAGGACACAGGCTTTTAAGAACTGCATGAGGGGAAATGCTGAGGAGAAAGACCGGTGTGTGCAGTTCTGCTGTCCTCAACATAAAAAGGACATGGAACTGCTGGAACAAGTCCAGAGGAGGGCCACGAGAATGATAGGGAACTGGAGCACCTCCCATTGAAGACAGCTGAGAAAGTTGGGGCTGTGCAGTCTGGAGGAGAGAAGGCTGCGTGGAGACCTCATAGCAGCCTTCCAGTATCTGAAGGGGGCTTATAAGGATGCTGGAGAGGGACTATTCATTAGGGACTGTAGTGATAGGACAAGGGGTAATGGGTTAAAACTTAAACAGGGGAAGTTTAGATTGGATATAAGGAAGAAGTTCTTTACTGTAAGGGTGGTGAGGTACTGGAATGGGTTGCCCAGGAAAGTTGTGAATGCTCCGTCCCTGGTGGTGTTCAAGGCCAGGTTGGACAGAGCCTTGGGTGGCATGGGTTAGTGGTAGATATCTCTGCCCATGGCAGGGGGGTTGGAACTTGATCTTAAGATCCTTTCCAACCCTAACTATTCTATGATTCTGTGATAGGGTAGACAAACTGCGAAGGCATGGAGCTTCCTCACAGTCCATGAATGCAGGATTTCTGAAGTCCCTGTCTAACCAGCTGAAGAGTTCCACTGATAATACATTGCAGTTCCTCAAATGGGTGATTTAGAGAGGAATATAACTTATCCTGCTGCTAGCAGCTCCCCTATTTGAGTGTGTAAACTTGAACCTACTGATAAGCACTTAGGAGTCTGGATGGTTTCATCTGGTGCTGTTTCATGAGGTGGAGTTGTTCAGTTTACTTCTGCTTAATAGAAACATCAACATTTTCAATCTTTTTTCTCTTTTGTTAGTATTTCTTAGTTTTTGCATACTCAACCTGCACTTGAAGGATTATTATGTGAGCATGAAAATCCTTGTCTAAATGCTACAGTTGTTTCTTACTGTATAACCTTGCTTTGGAATCTGTACTACATTTGTAGATCACAGTACATGGAATCCCACTAGAAAGTCAGTCATAGATACCAATGGTCTGTGGTTTCTTCTATGTTGCAAGAGCACTGAAACAGAGTGCTCATATTAGTTTTAAATGTTATCCTTTCTTGATCATTGTGGGAATTAGAAACAAACTGCTTGTTGCAAAATACTCTGTTTCATATTACTTAGCATTTTCCCATAAAAATCTGAATAAATGCCACAGAACCTGATCAAAGTTTAATGTCAGTTTGTTATTGAATGATGATGATTTTTTTTTTTTTATAGGTAAAGCCTCAGCCAAGAAACTGACAAAAAAGGTAAGCAAAATGTTCCTTTCATTCTTCAAAAGAACTTGCATTCTTTCTGTTAGTCAGCTGAATAGACTTCTCTTTGAAAACTGGCTTTATATATTTTCTTGTTTTGTCTTTAAAGGAGGTAGATGCTGCACTGCTATATGTTACCAAAGCTAAACCGGGACCGACCTTTTTTAGAGAGCTTGGTGATAAAGGTAATGAGCAGTTTTCATAGTGAAAAGTACATCTTGCTTTTTATCTCATTATATGATATGAATTGAATGTATTTTTAAAGAAGGTTTCAGGGTTTTGACTTCATTCCCATCTAGCCAGTAGCTGCCTACTTAGCAAAACTCTGTTATGCAAGACAGTAAAGAGGCAGGGCTGGGAATTGAAAGCCTTCTTGAGGTGCTGGAAGTCATGACAGAAATCAGAAAGCCCACTTGGAGAAAAGAGCATAAAATGGACTTTGAAGACTTGTTACTAAGCTGCTGTTTAGCATTTAGCTTAAATGCATGGAAACTAAGACTAAAAATAAAATTTGTATCTAATTATTAAAGTGGTATCCTGATTTCAAGCAGCATGGAAGGTGTCCCTGCCCATGGCAGGGTGTCATAACTAGGTGATCTTTAAGGTCCCTTTCCACCCAAACCATTCTGTGCTTCTTCATCTTCAACAGCAATGTTGCCCTTCACAACACTGATGTGTTTCTGTTTCTTTTCACCCAGCTTTTTCACTTTATATCAGGCTACATAAAGAGAAAACTCTGAGAGCTGGGATGTTGTTTGTTTAACAACAGGGAGCTAAAGAACACCAAATAAACACCTCATTAGCATAAATTAATTGCAGGGAAAGAAACACAAACAAGAGGGTCAAGGAAACCAAATAAATGAGTAATTAACTATTTCACGGTAACAAAGACTGAAATCCCCAAACTAATGAGAAAGACCAACAGTGTCTATTCACAAACTCTGTGGTGGAGTTCAGCCTGCATCCCTTGTCCCATGGATGGTTCTGGAAAATAAAGCTGCCTTTGCACTGCTGCAGTTCCTTGGCAGACATGAGCAACGCTCTCTCCATGCACAGCAGATCTCTGGCCATGGCTGGCAACTTGTGCCAGGAGAGCAGCCCTCGATCTGAGCCTACGGGGTTTTGCCTGCCCTTTGGCCTTATGGCTTATTCTGCCTACAGTTCATTCTTAAATCATTCTGCCAGGGTGGGCGAGTCTTCAGCCAGGTGCCTTGCAAGCTCCAAAATACCCCAGCAGCCCTGAAACATATCTGCACAAAGTTGAACCTTTTTTTTCTGTCTTAGTGAAGGATGGATTTTGTATTAAATAATTATTCCTGCCTTTTCAAATTAATAACCATCTTGTACTTTCCCAGGATTGTGATAATGGATTCCCAGTCATTAATTCTTGGGTGTTCTTTTCTCTATTCCTCATTTTGTAGAGCCTTTCTTTTTGTTGTGGCTGACACTGCAAATCCCCAAAGCATTCTGCCTGGGAAAACTAGGAGTCCGCCAACAGAAAGTGAAAACAGCAAATCAGGACAGATTCCTTTTATTGCACTTCTGCCAGCTGACTGCTTGGCAAAAATGTGGGCTTGGTGATAAGCTCAGACTGACATCTTTTGCATTCTGGACAAGGCATTGATCTCCCCTTGCTTAGTTTGGCATACCCTGTCCTTCAGAGGTCAGGAATGAGTTTGAGACGATGCAGGAATATTCATTGCTGTCATCCATATGTCTCCACAGCACATGGAGTTTTTACAGTATTCGGTCATGATGCCTCTTTAGTGACTTTGATGCTTTTACTTTGAGATGTATTATTATTACGCTTTTAAAATATAAATATTTATGTATTAATACTGCTTTTACAAGTACCAGAATAATAACTTTACACCTGTTCCACTGTTCAGCTGAGTTTATTTTAACTACCTTTAAATTGTTATTTAAATATCAAGTAGAGGGAAACTGTCAGCAGTCCAGTTCATAAAATGCAATGCTAGGGAATTCTGCCTTCTAGTGGGCAGTTTTAAAATTCATGTCATAGTTCGTGGGTATGCTTTTGATTTATTCAGTGATAAAAATATTGTACTATCAGCATTTGCTATCAAGTTTGAGGGTAGAGATTTCTAGGGAGGCATAGGGAGGGTTCATTTAGTGTTAGAAAATGACAGTATTTTGCCGATGCAACTGCAAATGCTTGGCTGGAAGTGTGCTGAGTCATTCAATTTTATGGGAAGCTTTAATTGTTTAAATTTCACTTGGACATGAATATGATTTTCAGGGTTTGGTTTTGTTATTTGAGGGTTTTTTAATTTGTTGCATTGCATCTTTTAATTTGAGTGACTTTGTAGTGATTATTGTAGAATGAAAATAAAATTACCAAAATGTTTAATTTACTTTATGGATAAGGTAATTTGGCTATTCACCTCAGGTAGTAAAGGGACAATAAAATCAAAATAAGACTTTTAATGGGAATCAGACCACAAGTTTAAAAAATTCTTATCTCAAAGTATTTTAGTGTAATCAGTTTGCCAGAAAATGTCAGGCAAGCTGTGGATTTGCTTTAAGGCACTGAAATGGGTTTTAAAGAACAATAAAGATTTGGGTTTTTTACATATTTTCATTATATTTACCTTTTTACCTATTTTACTGTATCAACTTTTCAATCAGCTTACGATAAGATGATGAAAACAGAGTCTGTGACTCACGCAGCCATTTCTTGCAAGGCTGTTCTTTCCAGCCCTCTGCAATTTGAGTGAATAGAGCCATCATGCTTCTTACTTGAGACAGTAAGCAGAGTGTTGTCCTTAAATTGGTCTTTTATTTGCATCCTACCATCTCCAGATAAATTTTGCAGTCTTTCTGCAGAATTTTATAGGGTACAATGTTTCTCATCTACCCATATAGCTAAAACTATCCAGGTGTCTGGCAATTTGTGTCTCAATTATTACAAGTTTAACAATCATGATCTGCCATCTTAATATCTTAATATCTTTTCAGATGCTTTGATAAATATGTTTTTCTTACATGACTCCTTTGGGTATATAATCTCTTCTTTTGTATACCAGCACTGGGCTCTCCTTGTTATATCTCACATAAGCTGCTCGTCTTCACCTTCCAGGTCTTTCTTAGACTCTCCCTGTGCAACGCATCTCAAGACAGCCAAGAGGCAAACTACCAATTCTCCTTGAACAGTGATGGTGGCCTTCAGCACTTGCTGTTTAAAGTGTCAGGCAGGGATCTTTGTGCTGATACTATTGCAGTCCACGAGTGGGTTATGGTTAGGTTTTCTATATAGACTTGAAAAGTTCCTGCCTTGTCTTGTCTTCCTTTATATTATTCCTTCAAACTTTATTTTGCTGTGTCACACACACAGAAAAAAAAAGAAAAACAACATACCCAACCAAAATCGTAGTTCTTTCTTTTTTGTAGAGATCCTGGACACTTCATCTAGGAACACGATTCCAGGTTTTTCAGCAGTGCAGTGATTTGCGTTCTTGCAATGGCAATAGCCCTAAAACTTGTAAGCAAAACTTAAATCTTTGAGGTAAAAGTATTTTTTATTTCCACAAGATTGTACAAGATTGTAGTACTGTGCTGATTTACACATGGTGCATGCTGGATGATAGGGTGAATAGCCCTATTTCAATGGAGAGGAAAGCTGAGATATGGAACCACTGAGTTGGCAACAGGATCACCATTAGACTAGTCTTTAGCTAAAATTTGTTCTCAGATTTTCAGACTTTTGCAGTCAGTAATTTAATATTTCTAAACTCTGGTACTTAAAACTTAGTATTAAGTCACCATCTGAGATCAAATATAAATGCTGTTGGCTCTGCATAGTAATTTATCAGAATTGTTTATCACTGAAACTTAAGTGGATTCCTTATCTTCAATTTACTAAATATAAATCATAAAAAATAGTTTATCTTTGCATAGATAGGCATTTTTTGAACATTTATTTCAAGCAGCTTCATCATTATACAATGTTTAGCTCACAAGTTAAAAGTAGCTCAGTTATTTTCAAAAACGATGTATAAAAAAGCCCTTTCCATTTTTTCTCCAAACATTATTGCAGGGCAGATGGTTCAGATTCTGTTGTTTAACCACCCTCATTATGCACTCTCTATCTTTAGCTTGTATGCTCTATTTTGACGCTATCACATCTTTGTGTTTGTTCAGGCTTTTCACTTAAGTCGGTATTTCAAACAAAAACACTGGAATTTTCCTTCAAAAGGGGGGGGAATACTTTCACTTTGTAGAAAGGACATGTTCCTATTTAAGAAAAAAAACGGAAAAAAAAAAAAAGATGCCTCCTCTTGGCACATGGCCCAGCGGTACTATCAGCAAATCTAGCAGCTTGGCAGCTTTGCGTGTTGCCATGTTCCCCTTGAGAATTAGAGGCAAGCTATTCTCCGCCTTCATGAGCCTGCCAAAGGATGGAGGACTTTGATCCTTGAGGGTAATGTTAGAGTAGTTCTCCTCCCAGGTACTAAATGTGACAAAGCAGATTTAATTTATTTGCCTTTCATAATAATATTGAATGTTTTCAGTGAGAATCCAAAGATTTAGTGTAGGCCTTTTATTAATACCAAATAAACCTTACTTTCTTGATTAGACATGAACATTGATGGATGTCTGGATAGGGAATTTTACCATCAGAGCACTAAAAACAAGTAAAAACTTTATTGTGGCTTACTTTAATAATTATTTAATATTATGCTAAACTATATTTTTCATGTTTATAAGATATGATCTTTCAAGTCTTGCTGAAAGTATTTTGGGGGGTTTGCAAGTCATTTTTTAATTCTTTTGATTTCAGGGTTGATATCTTATGCAGAGTACCTATTTTTGCTGACAATCCTTACAAGTAAGTATTACGTGTAAATTATCAGCTACTAACAGCTTTTCAGTAACTTTTTCTGATATTTTCTAAATTTCTGTGTTATAGGAAAATGTAAAGAACTATCATATGTAGAAAGATAAGGTGTTAATATAAGTGGATATAACTTTGATTGCATAGTGTCATCATTGGTCCATAGCAGTACTTCAAAAATCATGCTATTCCCTGCTCCATGGGATGAGGGAGGTCTGGCAAGTGACTTTGAGAGAGGAGAGACATTGGTTACAGGACCACATAACAAGGGGAAGAAGAACAGTGGGGAAGATGAGTAATTTGTTTCACAGTAGTTTCAGTCATTTTGGACAATGGGACATTAACAGTATAGCTTATCAGTGGTGTAAAAAGCTATTGTGGTGTCTGGAAGGTTCTTGCCTAGTATTCACGTGTTCAGATATGCAAAGGATAATATACATAAACAGCAGAATTCCGCATTGTCTTTTTGTTCTAGCTTTTAATCCTTTTATTTCCTCCTTTTGACTTTATTTCTCCAAGTATTTTGCAGGTATTTCTGCCCCCTCCTTTGCCTCCTTCCTTTATCAGACACTTTTTTAAAAAACGTTTTTGTTTGGTATTTGCTTTATCTGCAAACAGCAGGCGTTTTTATTGTGCATAGAAGTGATCTTGGATTATCTGGGTTTCCTCACTCACACTTACTCTCACAGCACCTCCCAATGCTGTTCTGATGAGATGTAGGTGACACTGGAAAATATTGAGGTTTGAGATGTGTGCAATAAGCATTACTCAGTAAGACCCATAGACTAGTAGTGAAGTAGTCCTCATGCATGTCGATGTAATAGTCCACATGCAGTCTTGTTTTGACTGACTACATAGGTCTAAGATTTTAAGCAAGAAACAAAGCCAGGCATACTCATGGTATCCAGCGGATGGGGAAAGGAGAGAAGGAAGCAGTCGCTGCAATAGAATGTAGATGCTTGAGCGTCATCAGTTCTGTGGCTGAGAGGTCCAAAACTTACACAAATGGACAAATTTTCCTTGTTCTACTAACCCACCCTCTCACAGTGTAGCATAAACAAGTAACATAGATTGCCAGACAGTGGAGAGATTATGTCCAGCATTCACAGATGGTGATGATTGGTGCACACCTCTCATACAGTTTAGGTAGCCCTTTCACAATTTATGTCATCTCTTAGAACTGCATCTGTTCCTACTGCATGGCATGAAGGGTGATTTCTTTGGATATTTCAGCCAGTACACAGTATTAAATAGGGTATGTGCATTAGGATAACATATTTAACATACAAATACACTCTATCATCAGTAGTGTCTGTCCAGTCCTACACACAGCTCAAACGTGAGTTATACCATGTGTTCAGTTGGTTTCTTTAAATCATAAATAATTTGGGCCTAGCCCAGTTAGAAAGTCAATTTTAAAGTATTTGCTGCAACTCAAAAAAGAAGGATTTTTTTTTAAATGACAACCACAACAGCCACATTGTAACTTCAGAAGAATACCTTAATTAAAGTTGCAGTAATAGATGCCAAAGATTCCATTTCTTTAAAAATCAGTGGCAGCTGAAAGTAAATTCATGCTGATTTACTGGCTAAAGTGATTACAAACTTGAAGCAGTATAAGAGCAAGTTGTTCCACTTCTCCAGACAATCAAGCAACATCATTTTTCACAGAATTTACATAGGAATGTATTGAACTGCAAAAACAAAGGCACATTTTCATGCAGGATAAAAATGCAGTGGCCAGTGTTGCTGCTTTGGTTACACAGAGAGTTATCATACAGATCAGTTTGAAAGCAAATGTCAACACATGTTAGTGCCTCTATCTTTGCCTAACAAGTATCCCATGTCAGTCAGTCCCCATTTACACAACCTGTCTCTCTCACTAGTGAGAATTAATTTGAGATTTCTTAAAACAGCCATTAATATTTAAGTGACTTCTTCTAAGTCACCAACAGAGCAATATGGAAATGGGAAGTGGCACCAGGTTTCCAGGGTCCTGGTTCCAGGACACTGCTGACCAGACTGTGCTGCCTGTCATATAAAAGCACTGTAACTCTGAATTTGAAAATGTAATTTTGCAGCAAAGGTCATATTTTGCCCTCTGTGATCCCCTTTTTTCTGTGTGCCTTGTATTATTGCTATCTTTTTTCTTCCAGTGCTGTACTGAATCTAATTTCCAGCGATTGGTTAATGGAGCTTTTGGTAAAGACCTGCCTGGTGAAGGAGCCCAGGAACTGAACTTGTCTCTTTTACTCAAAGCTTCATTTCAATTAGCCAGTCACACAAGTTGACAGGGTGGTCAACGTAGGAATAGTTGGAGGGGAAGCACCTAAGTCTAACCTGCACTCACAGTAAAGATGAGGCTCTTCTGTTCAGATTTTGGAATTTTGCCTGATTCTAATTAAATACAAATATATCTGAGGTAGTCTTTGAACTATGCTTATTTTTCAAGTGCATACCTTTGGGGTTACATCACGTCAGATAAGTATGTCATCTCTGAACAGTGAAAGCAGCTTTAGGTCCTATATTTTCAGTAACAGCTCTCTTATCTGAAAATTGCAACACAGATGGTATGAATTACTATTAAATACATCAATTACTTTTATTCTCTAAATATGCTATAGGATATGCTCATCTTGCTTTTGTACTAGTAACACAAATTTAGTGTGTGGCATTTCCATGGAAAGGAAGCCAGTTTTGAGTATTACAACCCAGTTGCCAGGGAAGGGATCTGCTCTGCAGATTGCAAGGGTATTTATAAAATATCCCTGCATCACAGGGTCGCTCCACAGAGAGCTTTAGTTGGCTGATGAAGATGTAGTTACATTTAAAATGAAAAAGTACTACTTACTTTAAACGTCTTGTTATCACTTAAAAGGAATGGGATATTTCTTTAACCTGTTTCCTCTGCAGAAAGATTCCCTTAAAAAAAAAAAAAAAAAACCAAAATAAACCAAGACTTACAACTTTACAGGGTGGAGCTGGAAGAATATATTTCCAAAAGAAAAACTGCAAAGGCATTAGAGCTTTTTAGAGATACTCCTTCACTGCCCTCATGAGTCCAACATTATTCTTGGGAACACAAATATATTCTAGAGACAATAAGTCTGTGGCTTTCATATTAATGCTTGACTTGACTGGGTTGTGGAATTAATTCACCTGCTACCAGAAATTACTGGGATAAGTGCTTGCTACTGTAGTGAACTGTAACTACATTTCAGCAGCATGCTGCTCCTGTGTGGGCTGGCTAATGAGTGAGTTCAGCTCCTGTAAGCAAAGCAAGATCAGGAAACTGTGGGAAGGAGCTCAAAACACACTGTGTTTTTATAGTGCCTGCAGGACTCAAAACTCACTGCATTTTTGTGTTGAAAAGAAACATCCATTTGGTGAAGGAAATGCAGGGTAAAATTGTATAAAATTCCTGGAAAAAAATCAGCTTGATGGGAGTCATACAAAACATGCTTTTGTCCAAAAAGGCCACAAAGAGTGGTTTATTACATCTCAGTAACATTTGAGCACATTTAGGGAGGAAGGTGAAGGGAAGGAAAAAAAAGGCCTGGGGCTAACACAGCAGGAGCAGGAGCCGAGAGAGCTGGCCACAATTACAAGATCAGTCTGTTTGCTGGGGAAGACTAGGAAAGACTGCAGATACTGGTATACAGTAATGCATGCAAGAACCACCTGAGTGGTACACTAGCTCTTTCAGGCAGTTTGGGAATAATTATTGGTTTCTCAAAGCACTTTCCAGTCTTCTCACCTGAAAACGAGCTGTAATGAACAAGGCAGAGCTCAACTTCAGAAGTGATGTGGGATTAAGGAGCATCTATAGGAGATATCTAAGACCAGGATAGGACATACAACATTTTTTACAGTCGTTGGGATCAGATCGACATTTATGGTTGCACTTAGGCACTGCTGGCATTTCTTGCTTTGCCATTGCATTAATTATCCCTTGAAAGGGTAGTAAAAAGGTGCTCAGAAAAGTTTGGTTATATTGGAGGAGGTACATACAGTTTACTGGAAATTTCATGTACATGCAGAACAATGAAGAACTGAACCATAGGCCTATTCCTTTTGCATTAAATATTTAAATACTAGTGTAAGAGTGAGTGTGTGTGTACTTACAATAAAGATCTTTTGCAATTTATTGCAGAACCCCAGACTGGATTTCAGATTGCCTTTAAAATGTTGGATGCAGATGGCAATGAACAAGTTGAAAAGAAAGAATTCTTTAAGGTATGTGTATTCATATGCATATAAATTTTATAAATGGAGATTCAATTAAATCTTCAAGCCTATTTTTCAGTTCCATCTATGATCACATACCTACAAAAATACTATATAGGAAAGAAGCACACACTAAAGCATTGATGAAGTACTTACCGTGTTTGAATCCACTTTTATAAATGTTACCTTTGACTTTTATCTAAAACTCTGTTATTGGAGAAGTAGCAGTTGGTGTACACCAGTTAATCCCGTGATTAATATGGGAATATGAATAATCAACTGGAAAAGTTTTATTTTCTAACTATTTTGATTATTTTTTTTTTTTTTTTTAATTTACCATCCTCTCTTAGTTCTTACTGTTTGCTGTTACACAGGTTTTTTACCAGTTCATACTTTGGAGAGTAACAGCAGTTTTTACCCTATTTTGTGTAAAATATAGGGCAGAAAGCCAGATACTTAAAAAACAATGAAAATCTTGTTCTGAGGTGTTAAAGAAGAATACGGTTAATGATACAGCTTACTCAACTTTTAAGTATTTAACAGGAGACTGTTAAGTAAATACTTCCTGTCAAAAGTCAAATGCAAAATTAATAAATGTAATTTCTAACAGACTCCCTCAGCTTAATTCAGATCCTCCATTCGTACTGGAGGTGACTAGAGAGACAATTTTATTAGAAGCTGAAAGGGCTACTAGAAAACAAATTATTTTCTTTCATTAGGATAAAGTTAAAGATGATCACTAATGCAACAACTCTGGAGAACCACAGAATCTAAAATTTCTAAAGATATACCAACTGATAGAGAAATTACCAAGAATTTAAGTGTACTTTCATAACCTTAAACTCTGAATAAGTGATGCAGTTGCTGTTAGCATGTTTTGCACTGCTAGCCATTTTTAGTGAGCTGTCTTTTAGCAAGATTACAATCGATATATTTTAAAATATTGTAAAAATGCTTTCAGGCATAGTAGTACTACTTGAAAGTAGTACCTGAAATTAGACCATTTCCCAAGACAGTGTTCCCAGAAGCCCCTAACTGATCCTGCAGATACCCTGCCCTCGTTTGTTGCTGCACAAAATCTTTTAAGCTGGAAGAATTTTCTCTGTTTAAATGTTAATTATTCTGATGATTGAAAGAGATCAAATTCTAGCCAAAGCCATTATTTTTAACCTGCTAAACCTGGTACAGTCCTAGTGAATTGTTATCAGAGTAGCTGTGCCCTCATCAGTGTTATTGATGTATTGTTCATATACAAAACATTACAGGGGAAAATAAGTTCATGAACACAAGTGAACGTATTCAGCCTGTGGTGCCCCTGCACCACAATGCCATGCTAGCAGTACTTCCTTTAGACTGGTATTGTGTCAGTTAAGCAAATAAGGAGACTCTTGCAGAAATACAGCACAGCTCTCTTGGGGAGGTGTACAGTATGTCATATATTTAATATCCATTACCCATTTCATGTAACTCTAATTGAATAAGCCAGTATGAACAACAAGTAGTCATCAAAGCTAGAGGTGAAAACATTATACAAATCATTAAAAATAATTTGATTTCTGTAGAGGCGATCAAATTAAATTAAGATTATTCTAGTTAGATAGATCATTACTTTGCATTTCCTTTATGGGCTGTATTGATTAATATAGGGTGGTAAAAAAAAATGTAAATTGCTATGTCAACTTATAAGAATCATCAGAGAAGTCTCACAGGATGCAGGCTGGTTAAAAGATGAATTTTCTTACATGACTGTATACTTAACATTTATAAATAGTGACTATTTTAAAGTAAAACTTGATTTTTATAGGTTAGCTTTAAAAATAGAATTTTTGGAACATAAGAATGGCCAGGTTGAATGGAGTCTTGGGTGACATGGTTTATTGTGTGGTGCCCCTGCCCATGGCAGGGGGGTTGGAACTAGATGATCTTAAGGTCCTTTCCAGCCCTAGCTATTCTATGATTGTAACCTGGAAAAAAGTGTGTGCATTAATCTCTGTATACGCTAGTTATATATGCATCATAGGATGCTGCTCTATATCTAACAAGTTAGTAGGTTGCTTCTATAATATGTAATTTATCTTATCCCAGTTGGCATCTCAGGAAAATATATCTGAACTATTTTTTAATATATATATAAAATATATATATATTCAAAACTATTGGGAATGGAGTTAGGGTAACACTGTTGCCACATGTAAGAGCTGTGTGATTTAAACTTTGTAGACTGTCTTTATACACTTGTCCTGGACAGCAGTTACCACAAAAAAACTTGCAGAGGTTCATCTGGGGCTGAATGAACCAGCACTTGCCACTGCCAGCAGTTGTGGTGGTTTGGTACAGAATAGCTCTTGCGGTCGTGGAGCATTTGCAAGCACTAATCCCCCTCAGACAACTGGAAGATGTTAAAATCACCTTTTTTTTTTTTTAAGAATGACACAGCCCTTCTGACAGCTCTTGTCTTCTGCAGAAAAGATTGCTTCTTAGTATGTCTTTAGCAAAGAGGCATCAGTTATGCATAATAGGTCTCATTATCTTTGAATTAGCCAAATTAGCCATTAGTATCTTGAGTGATGAACAGATATAAATATTAAATACAGATAAATGTTACATAGAACAGTTGTATTAAAGTCCATTTCTCAAGGGCAGAATTATTGCCCCTGTTGCTGCATTGTGCTGGCAAAAATCTGTGAACTACTGGAAATAGTATCAAGCTCTATAAGGATTTATATACTATGTAAGAAAACAATAAACTAAATCTTCCAGAACACTAGTGAAGAAGAATGATACCGTGTGTCTGTGCTCTTTAGTAGTCTCTGCAGATTTTTTAAGAGTCCTTTAAAAATAAAATCCAGAATTGAAAAAAAGAAAAAAAAGGCATATTTTCTCTTGTTGGGAAAGTATTTGCGGTTGCATTTCTTGTGTATGAGCAAAAGATGGATTTTCCAGGTAAGAAAAAATGTAATATTTCTATAAAGCACTTGTGGTTTTATCCAGTGCTCTATATTGATATTTTGCTGTGAGGAAAATCATAATGCTTTTAATGTACTAGTACATTGTTCTCTGATCAAAAATAAAAAGAATTTGGAGAAACTTGGAAGAACTAATACTGTTTAATTGTCTTTTTTACAATATTTATTTTGATAAATACGATCCAGGCACATTCAAAAATAATAATAGAAAGTAGCTATCCTGAGGACCTCAAAATCTGAGGCTTACAAAAAAAAACAGAACAAGTGAAGTAGTCAAAATTTGAAGGCCAATGGAAGATGTTTAGCAACATGAACAGTTGGTGGTTTTTGTCCTGCTCACTGCTTTACAAGCGCATCTTGCTTCTCTAAACAGCATTAGAACAAAAAAGAGTCCCTAAGGAGAGATTTGAAAACCCCACAGAATGATGCCTATGCAAATTTGGTCATGGATTTTTTTCCCAGTTTTAATGGGCAGAGTGAGGGATCACTGAGAAATGTTTTGAGAAGCAAACCAGAAGCTTTGAAAACCCTGAGCTTTAAAAGCATCTTTCCTAAAGTCTCCAAATCCAGAGTGATTGTCGTTATGTCCATATCTATACCTGAAATGTAGTAAGCCCCTTATTTTTTTCATTTTTGCTGTCCTTTTGAGGATTCATGCAACGGTCTGTGAAAGGTACGTGTACCTTGTGCTGTTTTGAATCACTCATTCTTGGGGCAGTGTTGACCTCTCAAGCTAAAATACATTAGAAGAAACCTTTCATCTGAGTTATACTTGAGGTTCTGCAAATTAATGCACTTTTTATATTACCTTTAAGCTCTGCTGGGGACAGAGTGATTTCAGTACTTAGCCAGCATTCAAAATTCATTTATTTATGGGGTGGAGGGAAAACTCAAACCACATTCTGAATAATGACAGTTTTGAAAATACATTTCTTATGTAATTAAATTATTCTTTGTTGTTAGTTGCACCTGAATTGAACAGGTATGTTTTTCATGTCCAGAAGAGCATGTCTGTAGCAAGACTATGTAAAGCTGTCTAGGAGGACAGCATAAAAATCACAGGATATTTTTTATTTCTGAGATGACTTTATGTTAAACCCCTGAGTTTCAAAATCTTCTGGAGTGATCGAAGGGCTTCTAGTGCAAGAAAGTATCCTCTAAAAAGAGTGAGTGCTGGGCTACAAGAGATAACGTTCATATGCTCTGCTTGGTTTTACTAACCACAGTAGATAAGACATACCTAGGAGAAAGTTTGTCTGAATAGGAAAACATCCTTAACTATGCAAATATTTTGTCATGAACCGTGCAGAAACATAATAACTTTGTAATTAAGAAAAGGTAAAAATAATGCAAGTTTCTGATAAAGGAGAAATGTATAAGACCAAATTTGTAATTTTCCTGTGGTTGGGTTTTTTTCATGTTTTAACAAATACAGCTACAGAGAATCATTGGGAAGGAAGATGATTTGAAAACAGCTGGAGATGAAACAATATTTCAGGTATGAAATAGAGATATATTTTTCTTTACACAGGCATTGTCATATTTCCCATGAACTTTGTTATTTTTTTCAGAGTTTTTAGGTAAGCATTTAAGCATCAGGATTAGTGCTTTAATTAATGAAAGTGCATGATTAGTCAGCTGCTTTCTAACTGGGAAAAAAAATGTTCGTCACTTCGGAATCTCCTGATGAAATGTATGCGATTAATGTATTTCATTACTGTGTAGTAATCCTCCACTCCATTATTTAGTTTTTGTAAGCATCTGCTTCAATGCAACTTTCTTCTGTGTATGAAGAACTGAGAAAAAAAAAACTCTGTATTGCCAGGTGAGAAAATACGGGTTTCCAAATAGAAATTGATACCTTAAATTTACCTAAGTGCTGCTGTTGCAGTAATACCAGCTTATTTTGAGTTGGTTTGAAATGTAATTATGTCATTGAGGTGACAAAGGGAAGGATTACTTTAGCTAGGTCTGCTTCCAGAAAGAAATGTCATAGATGCAGACCAGAAGAAACAGTATTAGAGAATGATCTTCCAACTAGGTTAGTAGTTTCACTGAACTGGAGACCATTAGCAAATGGCAAATATATCTCATCCGTGAAAGCAGCAGGGTTACGGTTACGTGCTCTGTTTTGGCTGTTTTCCCCTGAATCCTGGCACTGCAACCTACCTTCTTCCCAGATAGGGTCTTTGCCATTTCCCATCTCTTCATCAGTCTGTAGTCAGCACAGAGATTAGGAACTCTGAAAAATTAGGCATGAGGCAGTGACTGCTCATGTTGGTAGCATTCAGTAAGGAATTTATATAGGACTCTATAAACCTATCGTGCATCAGCAGTCTTTGAAGAGTTGGTTCAGTTCATGTTCTTTGCTTTTTCACCTGCCTGGGGAGAAAAAATGGAAGTGGCACTATTCTAACGCCTTTAATATTTACTAGGCATTAACAAAACTTTCTCCTGATGCATAGTGGTTTTGTTCCCTCAATATGTATCCAGAGTTCAGTTAAAAATTGTTTGACTGACTAACAACCATCCCCTTTCTTGAATCTTTTCATCAGTCACCATATTAAAATAGCTAGGATTAATAGGGTTGTCTGCTCCTCAAAACCTATTTCAATTGAGACTTAACTGCCATGACAGTGAAAGAAAAAGGATCTTTATTCTGCATGAATGCACAGCTATAGTATAAAATTTCCAGAGAAACTTTTGATACAGTTTGACAGATTTAGTTATAGACACATAAGCTTATTGGAAGCTAATTAAATACCTGAGCTGGAATGTCTCTATTTTGTTTTCTGCCTTGCTTTAAATTTTGCCTTCAGAATTCTCCATTGAGAAAAATCTGAAGTTATTGTAAGCAGACAAATAAAATACAGTTTATTAGCAAATTATAAGTGGAATTATAGTATGTTGAAAAGAAGAATTAAATAGCTTCAGGGAGTACAGCTGTCTTGAAACTCTTCTGGTTTCCATATTTCTTCTTGGCAAAATCCAAATTACTGCTTTTCTTCTAAATTTTATTTGTTTTCCTGTCTCAGTGTCTCACAAAAGGAGCTGATTATAAGCAGTGAATCTGACTGTAGGATATAGTCAGTGCATATGGTTTTACCTGTTATTTTTAATAATTTTGGCATTATAATAACTATAGTATTACTTTTAAGCAAAGCAGATAAAGCATAAAAACATAGGGTTTAAATTGGCTATGTTCTTTGAAAGCTGAGATACAGCAACAGAAGTTTGATGTTTGTGGTAACTCTTTATTTCCACAACACTTTCACAATGTGCATATGAGTTTGCTGGTTTTTCAAAGTGATCGCAGTTGCTGATACCAGGTGGAAAATGTCACTGACTTATGAAAATAAGGTTTAAATGGTAGTCTGCAACTTCATTTAACTGGCAGGTATATCCAGGTGTGTTCCCTGTACAGTGTAGGTGGAGGTCCCAGTCATTCTTAATACTCATTGAGATACTGTATCTCAAGGAAAAGAAAAAGCGGTTAGTTTGATGTGCTCCCAGGGTGCTTGTATTTCTGCCCCTTTTACTGAGACTTTGACTTACACATCTAAAATTGAAAATTTCACCACCTAGTAATGGCCCTTGCATTGGATTGCAGTGGACTTGGTTATCCAAATAAGTATATTTCAGTTGAGGGATTTTCTTTTTCCAATATTACAATTGTTGCTGGAAGAAAAGACAGAAAAAAAAATCTGTCCTGCCTTAACTGGCCCAGTCTTTTGGGAAGTTCCTTGCTGACTTTTGCAGAGCAGGCAATCTGATTTACTCATAGCACAGGCATGCAGACAGTGAAGGAGAGATGTAGGCAGAATTGCAAGACTGGCAACCTGGTTCTTTCTAGATAGACTGGAGAAAATGGTGCAGAAATCAACAGATGCAGTGACTATCTCACCTCACCCCTTTTCCTCAAAGGAAAGGAAATGTATTCCTCATTCCTCAAAGTAAATTCAGCATCTGGCTTCCTAGCAGAACTATTCTGCTTCATATGAGACACCCAGCTGAGCATTTGACCATGCTTCTCAGAAGAGGAGAGGCAAATTATTTGCCTGGAAGTGGTGCAGTGTTAGAGGAAAGTGAACAAGCTAGAAAAGTTGGGTGTATGCTGAAAAAGGTGTTGCCCAGTGAACAGTACCAGTTGCTTTTCTTAACTGCCCTGAGTTCCTTGAAAGGTACTCTAATAATGTTAAGTGCATTAGTGTTCTGATAGTGAAAACAATAGTAATGGTTGCAGGTATCTACTGCACAGCCCAGCTGTCTAGATCAGGGACTTTCAATTTAGTGATGAGTTATCAAGTAGTGTGAGTACCTCTAATTTAATATGCCTTGTGTAATGACTAAACTTTAGAAATTAATTTTAGCTATTGTTAGGAAAGGAATGACAATACAAAATGTTCTGTATTTGTTCTTGAAATGGAATTCATGTTGGGAAATAATATGTGCATCATCTCATTTACAAATGGTTAAACATACGCTTCTAGATTCCAGAATGAACTCATTTTCATATGAAGTATCTCATTTACATGTGGGTATTTTAATCATTTAACTAGTACTTGGGGACGCAGCTATTAATCTCTTTTAAACAAAAAGCTTTTGAACTAAAGTTTTGTCTGACTATAAGCAGTATACTTTTAGACTCACAACTTAGCTGATCAGCACAAGGTTTTACACTTGGACCTTCAGACAGTACAGCATCGCGATGCATCTCATCAGCCACAGGGATTGTGCAGGCAGTACAGCCTTGCAGTGCATCTCATCAGCCACAGGGATTGTGCAGGCCATTGTAAGCTGCCCACTGATCCCTAGAATTTCTAAACAGTTTAAAATTTTCTCCCTATAGCTTCACAGCCTGCAAAGCCCTGGGCTCAGAATAACTAAAGACTGCCTGAACTGAACGGAGGAATATGGTGGTTGAGAGCTATACTCTTCCAGTGCAGTAACACTCTGTATCAGGGGGCAGCACATCAGATTTTGCAAGAATCTGGTCCAAGACTAAAATTAATATCCCTCCCAAAAAAGAGAGTGTCATTAATCGTGTCAACTCTCAGCTCAGATGGAATGCACATTTTTTTCTTAACCTGTCTTCTCTGACATAAATGTGGATGTTTCATATCAGCAGATTAACGCTGAATTTCATTGAAAAGCTTTTTAGATGTGTTAAATCAAGGAGCAGTGCAGTATTCCTACATGTCTCAAAGGAAGCTCTCCAAACATGTGAACCCCAGAAAGAATCAAGTCTTGTGGCATCAAAATACTAGGCTATTAAAAAACTGCAGGGTCACTGTTTACCTCACAGACAAGGAAATTATCTTTCTATGTGATCTAATGATATTATAACCTCAAGAGAGACAAAGAAGCATGCTTTCTGATACCTTTTTGGATACCTGTTCTGCAAGTACATTGAATTTGGCTTGGATATCAAAAGTTACTCCCACAAGGAATTCATCTGGAAGTCCACTCTGGTCACAGTTGCATTGCTTTCTGTGGCACAGATGTGTGAGGCAAGGCTACTGCTTTAATCTCTGGTACTTAACCTGGGCTGAAGCACTTTCAATTATATAGAGAAGCCAGATAGGAGTGTGGGCTCCTGAAAGGCCAGGGAAGACACATGATTTGGGCCTTGCACTAACAGCTTTAGTCTTAAAGACAAAACAGAAAGAATCTGGTCATTAATCTCTGAAGGCTTGTAAAATTAATTGGAATAAGCTGGAAATGGTGCATGTAATCTTACTCATTTGGCATTTTGGGATTACTGAAACTTGGGATGCCAGCCTGAAAGTGGACTACCTGGGGATGTGTTCAAACAGCCACATGGGGGGAACTGGTCACAATCCACGAGTCAGTTTTAGGACCCAGAGGAGGAGGCTTACACATGCTGAGGATGGGTGTGCGTGGCCTTTGGGGCCAAGTCGACTTTAACCAAAAGAGTGTCCTTTGAAGAACACACTTCTTGAGGGGGGTCCTTGTTACAGATGCCCTATTTTTGATGGAAATCAATATTTATAAAGTATGGCATGACAGGAAGGCAGGGCCTGAATTCTTGAGAGGGGCTGTCCCCAATTGTGTATGGAAGCTGCTTTACCCAGCGCCAGTGGTGCATGGGTCAGACAGTCTCAGGCTTCGCAGTGCAACAGTGCCATTCTCTGACTGCATGACGCAGTCAGCCTGCTGGCGACAAGACTAGTTTCAGCTTCTTCCTCTTTTTGTCATAAAGTACCTCCTGCAGCATCTACTCCCAAATTAGCCTTAGCCCATTTGGCTGGAAACTCTTTATTCTGTACTTCCTTATGAATTGGTGCAGAACTGGGGGTGATGCACTGAAAGCTGGGAAGGTCCATGAAGTCACATTTTCTTCATTGCTAAAGGCACTAATGGAACAGCATAGCAATTCCATGGTATTAGTTGTTAAAAAACAACTAATCCCTGGTAATGGGAATTATGGATGTTGTTGAATGCTGGATATAGGCTGTTTAGTTTAAAAAATACACCATTGGACTTCTCAGTGTCTGCTATACCCTCTGTAGAAAAATTTTATGCACATTTTAGCCCTTCTGTATCAGACTTGATGTATTCTTGAATCCTACCTAGTAAGAAAGTGCCTTGCAAAACATTAAAAACTTTAGTACGAATTTGCATCATTAATGCAAATTTAATCATTTGCATGATTAAAGCCAATTCATTGTAAAATGGTAAATTGCTTCAATCTGGGGCCTGCTTAAGACTGGGCTTTGCCAAAAAACCACTGCCTTTGAGATCTGGATCTTCTCATACCCCTAGCTTGACTTTTTACAGTTCTTTTGACTGGCTATACCTGGTAAGATTAATGTCATAATGGGTACATCTTTTAAACCTTCATCCAAGAAATAAGTTGTAGGAATAGCCCAACATCTCGGAGGCTCTCAAAATGGCAGAAAGCTTGATGCTCTTGCACTATTTGAGGCTAGACTGCTTGGATTGAAGCCTAGATTGCCTTCAGTTACAGAAGCCTGGCATGATGCATTGACTGACCTAGCAGCTAAACAACAAAGTGCATTTCAGAGAAGTGGACTCAGAAAAAATTACAAATATTTAGTCTTACCTTTGGAAAGATTTGGGACATTACTAGCAGACAGAAACTAAGATGTTGGTCTCCTTGACCCCCCTCTGTTTTCTGCCCCTGTTCTTCATTTATTCACTCCCCTTCTATGTTAACAACAAAAAAATAAATCTAAAATATGCATTATTTTTACAATTTCTATTGAAACAAGACATTGCGCAGCAAATACCATCTCCCAGGAAGCAAGTAAGAGAACAAGGAACTTATTACAGATTTTAATCATGATGAATGCTTTTCAGTCATGCCTCAGGCAAATCCTGCAAGGAGGGATGGTAAGAATCTAGAGACAGTAAGTCTATTAACATTTCAGATGAGTTTTAAAAATCAGGTAGGTACATTATTCCAAAAATCCTGTCTCACTGTATGATAAGTTTTTTCTCAGTGGCACTTGTTGCTACTTGCTGCAGTATCAGGTCCTGGATGTCAAAAGCTCAGTGGGGAGCTACAGGATTAGGTTGATCTGTGCCTGTGACTCAGTGTTTACGGCATCAGGCTCCTATGTTAACAGTCTGTGTAATGTAATAAGGAAATAAATGTTGTGTTATCTGATATTGCTTAAAAGGGAATAATGGCATAATTCAGCAGTTCATGGTGCTTTTGAAAAGTGTTATGAGGTGTTAACATTACTCTAGGAAAATAAGCCTATGTTTATAATATGTGCACACATGTTCATGCCACTTGTGTGGCATCAGAGCTTGGTCTTTGGGATTCTTTTTCTGAATCACTGGAACCTGGAATATGCCTATGCTCCCCAGCTGAGGTACACATCCCTGCCCATCCTGTGCTTCTATCAAGATGAGATTTAGAACACCACCACCCTTTCTCCTCTATGTGTCTCAGCTTTCTGTAAAGCACTCAGCCCAGAAGGGTGCTATGGTATACCCTCCCAGGGCTGAAGCTACCAGATACACCAGAATACAACCTTTCACTGAATTTACTTAGTAGCTCTGTAACGCAAAGCTACCGGTCTGGTGCTTTTTACAGCTCCAGGATTAGTTTACCATTTCATTCTCATTGCCAAGAGAGACATTCCAAACGTAAGTTATTCTTAAGCTCAGGAGGGTGAGGTGTTGGAAATATTAATAGAGCTCTCATTATCTTCTAACAAAGATTTGTCATGTCAGTACTAATTTATACAGTTCAGCAGCAAAAGCTCCTAATGATTCTGTGGACAAAAAGGAATTATGTACTAACATGTACTTTAGTTTAATAGCATTAACTCTAGGAAGAGCAATTTTTTGAAATTTTACCCTTAAGCTGTAGTCTCTGTGGTCTCCTATTGCATATTCTGTTTAAAAAAAGGTACTGTTTTGTAGTTTTAAAATACATTTAACTCTCACTAACATAGTGTTTGGACATCTGCCAATTCCACTTTGGAATTTCAACTGATAAAGAGGGTAGCCAACAAGTAGGTGCATATTTGTTATAAATCCAGGGATAGGCTTTGTCATCTTAGATAAGATGAGATAGGTATTGTTTGTATGTCTTCTTCTAGCTATAACTAAAGAAACGTGAACAGAAGGAAAAAACTTTTTCTGTTGCAGACTTAGTTTGTAAAAGGTTGTTTTAAAACTCTTTTGCAGTTTGTTTTCAGTACAACACTGATTTTAATGTGGAGTGATTAAATTATGAGCATTAAATTGCGTAATCACAAGTTCAGTTTTTAACATTACATCAGCAAATTAATTTCTTGCATTTTTCATGCCTTCTTTAAACGTGTAAGCAAAAACCACAGAAAGCAGATTAGAATCTCACTGCAGTGAGAAATAAAGGGGTTCTTCTCTGTTTCTTCTTAGAAAACTTTACATTCTGACAAAAACAGTTTGGGTTTGAATTTCAAATAAGCATACATGAGTGTTTGACTTCTGACTTTCAAAAAAGCATATACCAATGTTTAATGCATCAATCTTCATGGTAATCTGAAGTGCTTAAAGTTTGGAAGGATGGATCTTGTGGGTATTTAAATATTCCTTGCCTGCAGTTAAATGATAAAAGTTCGATAAGTACAGTTTGCATATAGCTTGAAAAGGTTTTTTTTCTATGTCCACTCATACGTAACTCATATCACTGGCATTTGGTGAATTGTAGCTTCCAGTAGAAATGAGGCATGTTACCTCTTTAACTGTAAAATGACTGTGTCACATATGCAGTAAGCATGAAACACACAGTGGACTAATGGGACTTGTTGTTGATGATGCTGAAAGCTAAATAACCATTAGTATTAAATCTTATGAATAGACTCTTGTCTTTCATCTTACCTCTTCAACCAGATAAAAGACACAGAAGCTATTTAGATGTCATAAGAATAGTTTGTTGAAATCCCTCCGGACTTAGGGGGAAAAAAAAATCTCTCTTCATGTTGCTTAGTGTTTTGTTGTGTTCAAAGAAATGCCAGTATGCTAGTGCTGAAAGAAGAATAGAACAGAAATCCAGCATTATGTGTGGGTTTAGGCTTGTTAAAGATGCTGTTGAGTTGAAATATGTGCATCCTGTTGCTGCAGAAATCTCTTCATCAAATTTAAAATATATATTAAAAAAGTCACTAACATTTAAAATCTGCAAGAAGCCTTCTAAGTCAGTGTCATAACAGAGCACTGTGAATGTATTTTTCTAGTTTTGTTTCTTAGAATGTTTTTCAATGGGTGTAACATATTAGAAATATCTGAGTAAAAACGTTTTTAAACAGATGTTAACTTTATTTAAAGGCTCTATTCACCTAAGCATAAAGGCTTTTAAAGACCTATCTAGCAACCTCCTCAGTTCTAATGATAAAGTTCACCAAGGGTGGCTGTAAATTTTACTCTTCTTTCATACAGAGCATTTTGAAGCAGAACATAGAACACACAGTTACCAGTTGATGTGGAAGAATTATTCAGCTCTGAGATCCTGTGTGGTAGCTTTGGGAACAGTAATTAAATTGCAAATAGCTCTTGTGAAATTCTAGTTCAAGTAGCTAGATTTGTTACGAATAGATATTAAAAATACATAATAATTAATCATACAGTCTTTTGTCTTATAGGAAGCAGAAGTGGAAAGCTGTGGTGTTAATACCATGTTGCTGGTACATTTCTTTGGAAAAGAAGGAAAGGAAAAACTTCGCTACTCTGAGTTTTTCAGGTATTTTTTTAGATAGGCAAGCCCAATAGCAACCAGTCCTGTTCCTATCCCATCTCCTTTGCACCAACACTGGCGTTAATCTGACCTCACACTGAGCTGATTCAGAAAGTTAAAGCAGGTAATTTAGAAAGTTGAAGCAGGAGATTATTCATGATTTTGCATTATTAAATTTCTAGTTTGGCTCCTAGAGTCTGCTGTCTGCAGGAGTTGAGTACCATAGTAACTCCAAACACCAATAGGACTGGAAGCCGTGAGAGCTGAGACTGCCATTCTTGGCAGCTGCGTCATGACATACCTTAAGACAAATGATTCATGAGTATTTTTCTTGATCGGATCACCAAAAAAGTGACTACTAATCATTTAAAAAAGCTTTTCTGAGGTGAGATACCCCCTCCCCGTTAGAAATATCATGGTAGGCTACATGCAACTTCTCTGCTTGCTTCAGCTTGTGTTGAATCTTTATCTGTCCTTTTTTCTTTACCCTTTGAAATACTTTTGCAGTGGGCCTATGCAGATACTTTATGGCATTTATGTCAGAACTGAGAGCTGAGCCAGATGGTAACCACCACATTAGAATGAAACTGCAGTGGAATACCAACTGGCCATTACTCCTGGAAATGTAGATCTGTTTCTCTCTTTCACTGTAAGCTTTTCAAAATCAGAAGTTAATAGAAAATTCTAAGACTGATGTAGGGAGTCATTCAGTTTGTATATCATATACATGTCAGAAAGATCTTGTACTCCTTGTCTGCATCAGAGTATGAAGTTCTGCTGTGGTTGCTTTTGACTGGAAAACCCAACCAGATATCAGGTGTTACTGTTTTAATTGGATGAGATTCTTTCTTCCAATGTTTATTTCTATCAGTAATGATGTCCATCATCTACACAATATCACAACTTAACTAGTAAAAACTCTCTGTTGGAAAATCAATTACTCCTCTTAGTATGAACTACAGATACATCTTGCTATGTGAACTTGGGCCCAGAATCCAAATGCAGTCTTTCTTTGAGATAAATGGAAGTGCCTCAATACCTGTGTGAGTTTTGGCACACGCCTTGTAGCACAACATCAAGAGAATATTATCTACATCAGTATTAATTTTTCTACAAAAATAATCAGTCATTTACAGACTGCAAAATAAATAAGGATGATGTGGTTTAATTTATGTTCAGAAGCAGAGAATCTGTGTCAGCCCTCTTGAAAAAGAATGTTGCTGCAATAAGCAGAGGTTTGGGGAAAGCCAGAGTAGAAAAGGAAGAGTAGCGATTTTTCTAACACTAAAAAGTGTTCGGCTCCACTGTCTCTGGCACACACCAGTCTTCAAATAAACAACGTTTGTCTTTTGAAGACCTTGGCTCAATAGGAATCTAAGTGAGTAAAATAATTTAAGATGTCTCCAGCTCCCTTTTCTGTAAATACCATAGATCCTCTCAGTGAAACAAAAGGCAGAGAGCACCAGTAAAAGGTTGTGTTTGCATATACACTGTAAACTGAAAAGCCTCAGGTTTTAGATAAAATCCTACATTGACCCAGTGAGGCATGACATTGATGAAACTATGTACCTAGTACGTTCAGAACACATAGGTTAAAGACCTTTGCCTACCACACAGATAGATGCCTGTAATCAAAATCAAACTCCCACATCTTGCTCTTAGAATCTGTGGGATAAGTGTTAGGTTTAATGCAGGTAATTTTTCAACACTGGCAGTTAGGTTTTGTGGAGCTGGAATGTGCCTCTTTATCACTGCATAGACACTCCATCTCAGTTGCAACATGACAGTGAAGTTTGTTTAACACGCAGAAAGGTGAATAAAAGGATCACTGTCTTTTTAAACTCTGTGAAGATATCACCTTTCACATGATTTTATTTGCAAGTAAATCAAGCACATCTTTTCTGGGTGCCTATTGTTCAGAGAAAATGTGATTTCTATCTGATGGCCTCTCATAACATTTTACCTTACGCGGGAAGCTATTGTTGGCTGTTTGATCAAAGTGCCACGCTGTTTTTACAAGAGATGACTGATGAGCTGTACAGACATAGATCATTGTCAAAAGCAGAAAATAATGATGGTAAATGCTTTTATCATATTCCAAGTTCTTGCCTAGAAAGCTTTTCCATTGATCAGTGTAGTACCTAGTAGAAAGTAAGGGTGATTAGGCTTGATTAGGACACACTAAAACTTGTCACATTAGTTAAATACACAGATACTCCTGTGCTGTGGAGCAAACTTGAAACTGACCAAAAAAAAAAGGAATGCTTTCTTTGTGGAATTTCACTGTACTTACATGGGAATTCAGAAGGCTGAGGCTAGTGTTCTCACCTCGTTACTTATATATATTTTCTTCATGCTTCTTCCTTTTCAGTTTGTCTGACATTTCCTTTTGTAGGTGTGCAACCATCTGTATCTGCATGTACACCAGTGATGTCCAACCCTTTTAGCCCACAGTCCAAACATTTAAAAGATGTCAGACAGCCACAGTCAATACATCAGGGCAATTAATTTACCTTTCTTTGCATTCAGATGGCACAAAGAAAATGAAAACTGTCTACATCTCTTGAGGAAATGTGGAGCTGGTGTAAGCCAGCTCTTGTGCCTCCCTTCCTACTGCCCTGAACACAGGAGGCGCAATGGCTATAGGGGGCGGAAAATGGTTAAGCATGTGGTGTGGCATCTGCCTCCTGCTGGTGCATGGCTCTTGGGGAAGCATAGGGAGGTGATACACACAAGGACAATCCTCAAGCTGTTTTTTAGCAAAGAATGAGACTGCGAAACACAGGATCGGATCACTTTTCAACCATTCCTGGGCTGCTGGGAACATGCAAGAAGAAACTTTTGCATAAGTATTTTGGGACACCAGTCCAGGTCTTTTCTCTCTGTTCTCCACAACATAGTCAAAACAGCAACCAAAGCTGCTCCTTTTCATTCTCTGCTGAGCAGCAGTGGTGGCACTCCCACTTCGTTCTGCAGCTTCTCCTGGAACCACTTAGAACTATGCCTTATGTCTTTCCCATAGTAAGAAGGTAGTTTCGGAGATCTTAAGGTAGGACTCGAGCATATGTTCAGTGTCAGACTGCCACATGATTTCTTGGCGGTTGTATTGTCCTTAACATAAGGACAATGATAATTATTAATAATAATTCACAACTTTGAAAGTGACAGCTTGTTTCCCTGGCAGAAGTTAGGAAATTTAAATCTACACGATTCTGGGATATGTTTATGTACTGCACTAGTAAAGGTGTTGCCTTTTAGTCAAATGCAGCTGAAATCATTATTCTCCTGTGACAGTTTGCAAAAATACAACAATGTGCAGCAAGCATAAAATCATGTAACAAAGAAGTGTAGTTTTCACAGAAGAAGCTCTAACCAGGTGAGATTTTATTCTCAGAAGATCTGAGCTAGTTTCTGTTTCAGATGACCCCCACTCAGTTTTACACCACACCGCCAATGTCATCTTAATACCAGGACCCATCTTAGAAATCTTGTCAGATTTCAAACATGAAGCCAGAAGTTGTCTGGGATTCCAGGCTTCTTATTCTTTTGTGTAGGTTTCCCCTGTTTTGTGAGACATGGCTTTTGGTCTTTTCCTTCCAAAAAGTGTTTTACTTGTGCTTTGATTTCCATACTATATTTTATTCTGAGTAGAAAACTATTTCATTTTCTAGGTATAGCAGATATTTCTTCTTGACAGCCACTGTATTTTTCCCCCTGAAAAAAAGTCCCTTACTGATCTTGTTTAAGTGTGTCTAATCCCGAATAAAAGAGGAGACAGTAATTCACTCACTAAACAGTTTAACGACTGCTATGATTTTTTTCTCTAATCTGTCCCCAAGCAAGCTTAAATCTCTCACAGTCTCCTTGAAAGGGGAAAAAAAAAATAAAGTGCGCAGAATATTTGAAGAATATTCAAAACCTTTCTGATTGTTACATTGTTTTCCTGGGATGGCTTTCCTGCTATGGTTAAATAATGGGCATCGTTTAATTATGTCAGGAAAATTAACATTTCAAATCCAGTTTATGGCATTTTCTTACCTGATTTGTTGCTTCCAAACTTCCCATTAATTATTAGAATTTGGCACCAGAAATACTCTTTAATTGTGGTTTCATTTTTGTTTTCTCCTTTAGTGTGAAGGTCACAGATTGTATGACCGTACACAAAACACGCCTTTTCCCTACCTGTCCTGTTTCTTTCCTTAAGTATTTTGAATCCCTTGGTATGCTTCATTTGAAACCTTTCGTTTAAGAAAAAACCAGAACGATCCAAGCTGCACCCCAGTGATAGTGCTAACATTTTTCTGGTGGTGTTCTGTGTTTGTGCCGGTGCAGACTGTAGGATCTCTTTCAGGTAACATCGTCAGCCAGCGGTGGTCTTGCTGTGATGGTAGCTTGTAAATTTCCAGTGATTTTCATCTAGGTATTTGGAAGTGCTTTGCAGAAATAAAGTATGGTCGCCTCCTTATTTGTCTCTGTACCTACATTTGTAACTGTGTATATATATATATATATATATATAGGGAGAATGCCCTAATACATCTGGAGGTTACATCTCATGCAACCAGAATCAGACAGTGAGGAAGCAGAGATGGGGATAAAATCCTGTATATACATGTATATTCCACATATACACAGGAATATACATGACTGTATATTCCTATCATAAATGAATCTGAATATTTCCCCAAAATTTAGTAAAGCTGTTCAGAAGAATCTGTTTTTTCCTTTCCAGTATACTTAGCAAAGAATAAGCTTGATTATTTTTTACAGAGTGCTTATAAATGAAAATGAGTAGTTTTGTTTGATTTGGTTTGGAAACATTGAGGACAGTAAATCAAAGAGGGTTTCGCCTGTAATTCTGAAAATGGTGAGATTGATTAACTGCCTTACTGCTTGCAAAACAGAATTTACAAGCATAGACCTAAATGTTCTCTAAAGGTTAATGGTCTTGCCCTTATTAGATTTTCTATATTCTGTTTTGAAAGTCAGACTGCAAAAAGGCAACACTGAAGCTGTTTTGCAATAGCGTTTTGATAGAGGGAGGGTTATCAAGTCTTTAAAAGGACTTTAGCGTCCAAAGAGGATAAAAAGCAGAGTACAAAAGCCTGGGTGGTATATCCACCCTTGTCTTTGTTGTTAAATTTACTTCCTATAAATCAGTGTGACAAGAAATGGTCAGTTGTGTATTAGAGTGTTAAACCTCTGCACAGACTTTCAGTTCAGGTCAAGAGGTATAAGAAGGAAAACTTTCCCTAACCTTTTCTTTTATGTTTCAGTCTGTATTTCATGTGCTGTAAGGAATACAGTGCTAGCACTTCTAAGGTTGGAGGGAGAATAGCTGCATTCCTGAGGTCTCCCCACTTTTACTGTATATTCACTTCTGTTAAAGCTGAGTTGCCAAAACATCTTGAGAGACTCCCTCTTTCTATAGTAGAACACATTACAAAATGAGGGATAAACCCTGATAAGGTTTCTGGATGCTATTGAAAAACGGTAACAGATTTGGCCATTGGCCTTCAAAGTGAGTGTTTTAAAGAGTGTGGATAAAACAGCCTATCTTGAAGAAAGTACTGTCTTCCCAGCCTCTTCCCCATCTTATAAATTTATGATTTACATTTCCTTTTTGTTATTTGGAAACTCAGGGCTTGCTTTTATTTTCAAGCTACTATAGCATAAGAGTATTCCCAGCATAATTATTTTTGAATTGCAGAGCACATTTACAACCAGAATCCTGTTCCTGTAGTTGAATTCTGGCGCCCTTAAAAGTTCCCGGCCAAGTTCCCACTGACTTTGAGAGAGCAGGAATCTCATTCCTGTGATTGTTTTTCCTAATATATGGATAAATTTTTAAGGAATTTTCATCTGAAACTCAACACACCGTGATCCTGAAGATACAAAAGCAAGTATCCTGGGCTGCATCAAAAGAAGCATGACCAGCAGGTCGAAGGAGGTGATCCTGCCACTCTGCTCTGGTCTTGTGATACCTCACCTGGAGTACTGTGTGCAGTTCTGGTGTCCTCAACATAAAAAGGACATGGAACTGTTGGATCAAGTCCAGAGGGGGGCCACAAGGATGATCAGGGCACGGGAGCACCTCCCATATGAAGACAGGCTGAGAAAGTTGGGGCTGTTCAGCCTGGAGAAGAGAAGGCTGCATGGAGACCTCATGGCAGCCTTCCGGTATCTGAAGGGGGGTTATAAGGATGCTGGGGAGGGACTCTTTATTAGGGACTGTAGTGATAGGACAAGGGATAACAGGTTAAAACTTAAACAGGAGAAGTTTAGATTGGATATAAGGAAGAAGTTCTTTCCTGTTAGGGTGGTGAGGCACTGGAATGGGTTGCCCAGGGAATTTGTGAATGCTCCATCCCTGGCAGTGTTCAAGGCCAGGTTGGACAGAGTCTTAGGTGACATGATTTAGTGTGAGGTGTCCCTGCCCACGGCACAGGGGTTGGAACTTGGTGATCTTAAGGTCCTTTCCAACCCTAACTATTCTATGATTCTATGATTCCTAATGGTGTCTTGGCATTTAAGTATCAAGTTTTGCTTCCTAACCAGAAAGTTATTTTTAATAATGTTCACTTAAAAACTCATTAGGATTTTTGACTCTCACATCTGGGAGTGAGAGTGACCTAGAATGCTGATGTGATTATTCATACTCTTTTAATTCTTGTAATATGGGAGACAATCCCATATAAGTTTTAAACTGCACATTTCAGCTGCTGCTCCAGATAGCATTTGGTACCGAAGGAAATCTTCCCACTTCCTACAAGTTGAAGCGAAATACCTTAATTTTTTGGTACCTAACAAGTAATTCTGCTCCCCTGCCTAATCTGTATAGTGCTACAAGATGCTCTTGTGCCACAGGAATGGTGCAGTCATTGCCCCTGAGCAACTGGAGAGGGCAAGAGCCCAGTGTGGGGAAAGGCAGTAGAAAGCCCCCAGTGGGGCTGGAGAAATACAACAGTTCATTCGTTGTCCAAGTAGAAGAGGGTGCAGAAGCAAGAATACATCAAAAATGTCACAGCCAAACCCTTCACTTTCCTCTTTGGCTTTGCTGCACCATTATGCTGGCTGATGTGTGTGACTTAGCTGGGCCACCCACCCCTTCCTCAGCATGTAGAAATGCTTGGTTTTTCAGCTGTGTTGCCTTTAATGACTATGGCTACAGGGCAGGTCACTGAGGGGGTTTTGTTTAAGGAAATGCAATATTTAGAAAAGATGGAAGAATATGTAGTTTGGCATCACCTGTGGCTACTGACCACTAAAGCTCCCCAGGATAGCTAACTCATACATTCAGTAATAGATCTTAAGTCTGTTGCAAAATGTGTCCACATTTCATAAATTAAAAGCCAAGAAAATAAAACACATGGTGTATCATTTCTCTACATCCGCATGTTCACCATGTTTCTGTAAGTGACCTCATTTTCAGCAGCTTCTCTGCCAGACCAGACATTACATGGGTTGGAAACAGCAGTCAAAGATGCAGTTACTGTTCTTCATGGTCTCCGACTTCCATCCAAGCACAAGCCACACATCCCAGATACCATCTACTCCTTGTCTTTAACAGCCACTCCCAAAATGCAGCCAAGTGGCCCTAGTCAGTCTCTGCTGGACTGACTCCATGCCTGGTCCACATGCATGATCCATGCTGTACTCACCCCCTGCAGCTTGACCTCCCTTCCCAGGATGATCAGAGGGCTGGAGCACTTCTGTGAAGACAGGCTGAGAGAGTTGGACTTGTTCAGCCTGGAGAAGGTTTCAGAAAGACCTTTCAGTACCTAAAGAGGGTCTACAAGAAAGCTGGAGAGATATTTCTACAAGGGCATGTAGTGATAGGACAAGGGGGAATGGCTTTAAACTGAAAGAGGGTAGATTTAGATTAGGTATTAGGAAGTTCTTCCCTGTGAGGGTGCTGAGGCACTGGCAGAGGTTGCCCAGAGAAGCTGTGGCTGCCCCATCCCTGGCACTGTTCAAGGCCAGGTTGGATGGGACCTTGAGCAATCTGGTCTAGTGAAAGGTCCCTGCCTGTGTCAGGGGGTTGGAACTGGATGAGCTTTAAGGTCCCCTCCAACCCAAGCCAGTCTGTGACTCTATGATCAAGGAAGACTCTTGCGGGTGGTGTGGCAGGATTGCTCCTGCCAGGCCATGCTGGCCCATCTCGCCAGCACATGCTTGACTGCAGGGCTGGCTGGAAGCTGTGGTCACCTCATGAGCTACACAGACAGAGGCTGTGTCTGAAAACTGAAGAGTGGTTTGCAAGCTGTGTAAACAAGCTCTCACTGGTCTGTAAGATGAGGGACTTCCCTTTCACACTGGTGGCACAAATGAGTCCTTCGGTGTTTCATCCCGTGTGAGAGGGAAAGTCGGAGAACTTGAAAGTGAGGCAGGTCTTAAGGTGGCATGTGGAGGAATATACCTCAGTGTTTGACTGAACTGTGGGAGCCTTGTAACCACTGGAAAAATGCCCATATAAAACATGAGAGCATGTCATACCATCCTCAGTATTGCCCTAACAAAACTGTAGCCTGAAGCTTAAAATCACCTCCACTGTCAGGCTTTCACTTACCTGGGTGACCTGAGGCATAAAGCATTTGTTGGCCCTTTATTTGCTTGTGCAGCAATAATTATTGCAGGAAAATACACAAGAGAGAAGTTATGCTGCAACAGCAGTCTTCAGCTAACCCCTTACAGACTTTACAGAGCTTTGAGCTATTAATTGTCCAAGTGATCTCATTAAAGAGCTAAAGATAGCTGCGTGGACTAAACTGCTGTAATTTCAGGGGAAAGAATTCAAACCCAGTGAGGCTGTGCAAATACTGTTGAGCAAATGAGCCTCTGCTCATATTTGCTACAAAGACCCTTAACTGTTCTCTTCCCCAACTAATTGCTTTGTCCCAGTATAGGAGTATTGCATTCTCTCCTGTCAATAATTTTTGCAACTCAATAAAGTGCTAAAGGAATTCTGGCAAGCATCAATGCAGTTTTAGCCTTTATACTTCTAAACTATCACTTATATTTGGATTGCCTTATTTCTGAAGTGGAAATTACCAAACGGATCATACAGTATTGTTTTTTACTTTCTCAAAATTAATATTCAGAATAAATGATAAAGACCACATAGAGTAAACTGAGGAAACTCAAAACTGCTACTTTTTTTTTCTTCTTCCTAAAAGAATGGGTGTCTCCTAAAAACTTTGATGTTCACCCCTTCCTTTTTCAGGCAGCCTTCTTCATACCTTTCCAAACACCTGAAGCATCATTTTCTGTGCTCTTCCGAACTTTGCACATGTCAGCTGTAATCTTCTCTAATCCATCCTCTAGTGAGCACAGAACTCATTTGCCAAACCTCTCTTTGCAGTCATAATCTTTGAAGCTTTTGGTCATCTTTTCCTTCAGTGATGATTTCGAGTTTCCGCTTTTCTTTCACCTTTGTGAGTATTAGGGCCTCATCTTTCTAGGCACTTTCCAACCTCGTCATTCAGCTCTTATTAATATGATATTTCATAAATCATGCGTCAGGTCTTTAGTTACCATGTCTTTTTTTATTCATGCATTCATTATAAACAATAATTATTTTATCTCATTATCGGCACATTTTTTAACATTAGCAAAAACTAGATGCCAAGTGTATCTGTAAATTATTTTAGCAACAGCCATCAATGCAAGACTTAGAGAGCACCCTACTGGTGTCATTATAGAAATGCACCCGTGGAAACATCTGCTTACACAGGTAAAATTAAACCAGTGACATTTTAAACAATGATGTTGATAGTATCTGTGATTAACATTTAGTGTCTACCACATTTAGTAGCTAAGGTAGTAACAGTGATATAGTGGTGCAAGTGTCAACTGTTGGATAATATGGGTTTACACCTAGATTCATGGAAAATCTGCAAACAGAAGTTCAAGAAATGGAATTCATACAGTTTTCAAAGGGTTTGAACGTCATGAGAAAAGAAGACTTTGCAGAATGGTTACTCTACTTCACTGATGAAGAAAACAATGAAATTTACTGGCAGAATGTGAAAGAAAGAATTGAGGCAGGAGAGGTTGGTACATAAAGCATGCTGTGTTTTGCTTCCTCCTTTGTTTGTACAGGTTTTCATTTCAATAATGTAATGTATAACATTACATATTGTATATGTACATTATATAATGTATAACTAGTTTCAAAGAGAATTACTGCAGCCCTTGAATTCCATATAGATAACATCAATGATATTTTGCCAACTGAGAAATACAAATACTGACAATGAGTAATCACACCCAAACACTAAGTCCCACCAGACATAATGAAATAGATTTACTGGGCTTTGAATGTGTTATTCATTATATGTCATTTGAATTCTGTGATACTCTAGAATATCAGTTTGGAAGAATTCAAGACTTTTTGCAAGTTTACAAATAACCTGGAAGACTTTTCTATTGCCATGCAGATGTTTACTGTAGCCAATCTTCCTGTTAAACGGGGTAAGTGCTGCACACCTCTTGTATATTTTCTTAAAAGGAAAAACACATCTTTATTGTGGAATTGATATAAATAAGTTATACCAAAGTATTCCAAAATAGCATGGTGAATTCAAAAATTATTATGCTGCTCTTTATTCTGAATTATTTCTATTTAATGAATAAAATTATGAAGTTCCCAAAATGGTTTGATTTTTAAGTTCTAATGTGCCATCATATGCTGGACCACTCTCAGCAGACTAAACCATAGACTCATAGAATGGTTTGGGTTGGAAGAGACTTTTAAAGATTATCTACTCCAGACCTTCTGCCATGGGCAGGGGCATCTTTCCACTGGACCAGGTTGCTCAAAGCCCGTTCAGCCTGGCCTTGAACACTGCCAGGGATGGGGCAGCCACAGCTTCTCTGGGCACCCTGTGCCAGTGCCTTACCATGCTCATTAAAAAACATTCTTCCTTATGTCTAGTCTAAATATATTCTCTTCCAGTTTAAAACACTTTTGCTTTGTCCTGTCACTACAGTCATTAGTAAAAAGGACTCGTTGTTGTAAATCTTTATACATTGAAAGGCTGCTCTAAGGTCTCCCCAGAGCCTTCTCTTCTCCAGGCTGAACAAGCCCAACTCTCTCAGCCCATCTCCATAGGAGGGGTGCTCCAGCCCTCTGATTATCTTTGTGGCCTCCTCTGTACTCACTCAAGCAGGTCTGTGTCCCTCTTTGTGTTGTTAGCCCCAGAGCAAATGCAGTACTGCAGGTGGGGTCTCATGAGAGCAGAATCACCTCACTCGACCTGCTGGTCACACACTCCTTTGGAGGCAGCCCAGGGTACAGTCAACTTTCTGGGCTGCAAATGCACACTGCCAGCTCTTACCCAGTTTTTCATCCACCAGGATTCCAAAGTTATTCTCCACAGAGCTGCCTTCAGTCCAATCTAAATTCTAGACTAGGGAATGTTTATTGAAACAATACATGCTTTAGTAGCAGTTCATGATAACAAAGGTTTTTCCTCATAGTGACACTAGTTTCCTTCTTTTGCAGGGTCTGTAGCGTCTTGCTGTATTGTATGTAATCCTCCATACTGCCTTTTCTGTGTGCTTATGTAGTGTTATTCAATCATGGCTATGAAAAACAAACAGTGTAGTAAAGTGGGTTTTAAAGTAAAGATTTGGAGGAGGAAAGTTGCTTCCTTCCATATAATAGATACAGGAGCAATGCAACTGAAGTTTCATGGACACACAAATGCTTTTTTGCTGAGTTTTCTAGTAAAAATTATCACTCTGTTGCTTGAGTAGTGAATTTAAGAAGTTTGTCATATAATTAATAGTGTTCTGAAAGATGAAGCAAGCTTGAGAATGCATGAACTGAGGTCTCATAATAGTTTACTAGTTCACACATCCCAAATTCTCCCAAATTAGGATATGCAGACACATTGTAAATTGTGCAGAATTCTGCTACTTATGTGTTTTCCAATTCTTTTACAAGTTCACAGTCACCTGTGATTTAATATTATGTCTTTACTAGCTGAGTTCAAGAGAGCAGTGAAGGTGGCAACAGGACAGGAGCTCTCAGATAATGTGCTGGATACCATCTTCAAGATTTTTGATCTAGATGGAGATGACTGCCTCAGCCACAGCGAGTTTCTTGGAGTCCTGAGGAATCGAATTCATCGAGGTTTGAGGGTAACAAGCTGACATCACTGTTTTTAAATATCACAGCTGATTGCTACAACTGTCTTAATGCTTGTAGAAACACAAGTAAAGATAGTGAATAGAAGGAAGTTATATTTTAAACTGAATATTCCTTACTGCTTACTCTGGGAAGAGTGCTGCCACCAAGAATTTGTTATTATGCATGTGAACTATGGAGGCAGCAGCACTACATGACATACTATATTTACAGAATGAATGTGAATCAGAGTCATTTCTGTATAAATGCTAAACATACTTTAAATTTATTAACAGGTACCGCAGCAGCAAGGCATTCAAGGTTACTGGAAGTGTGTGAAAAGAGAAAGCATTAAAGGAGCCAAAGAATTGTGGAAGCAAACTGGGAAAAGTCCTTTCTAAAGCAGTCTGTTGTTCTTTTGCTATGAATGTTGTCATGTAGAGGAGTTTGTCCCGTTTACAGAACAGCAGAATCAAAAATACTTTTTTTTTTTTTTAATTTACCAGAGTTAAACTTTAATTTGCCCAGATTCTAATGCAGTAATTTTACATCATTCTGGTGCAACCAGTTTGGTTTACAGAACTCTTATCACTGTTCACCTCCATGCGGAAGCACTCTTGTTCTAGGAAATAGCATTGTTTACTCTTCTGTGGAGTCTGACCCTGCACTGTAGCATACAGGATATGCAGGATTTAACAGTGGCCAATGGCAGGAACATCACAGCACTCTTCCTGTTGGAAGTTAGTTGCTCAGTTAGCAACTAGTACAGCAGTTCTCTTTCTCTGGCAAGGACAGAGGTCCAAAGGGCAAAATCACTGGCTCAATCCGTGCAAATCACATTACCCTAAATCAAAAAAGAAAATTCACACGGTTTGTGCCCTCATTACTGTGAACTGCTCATGTGCTAGTAGATGATTCCACCAGATCCTGTCTGGTTTGTCTACCTTCATGATGATAATATTAAACTGGAAATACAAGATTGTTGATACAGATTTTAAAAGTTGTACATTGATCTATGAATGTGCATTGAGTTTCTCAGACCTCTTCAAGAAGTAGCATAAATGAGAAGCACAAATCCTCATTCTGTCATGAATAGCAGTAGCTACAATTTGAGTCGTAACTATTTTGCTGTAATTGTATTGCAGAGGGTGAATGTGTAACAAATAGTTGCTTTATCTTACTAAAGGTTGTGACAGGGAATGCTGCAGTATCTCAGGAGTTCAAGGTTCTAATAAGCAAGTGTTGGGGAAGTAAGTTGTCCAATGAAAAAGTAAATACAAGTGTTTATTACTCCCAAATGCAAAGTTAGACATTGGATTTTAAACAGTAAGACAAGGAACAGATCAAAATTAATATGTAGTAATTAAAGATTAGCATTTTTTTAGCTATGCATTCTATGCATAGAATCACAGAATATCAGGTTGGAAGGGACTGCAGGAATCTTCTGGTCCAACCTTTCTTGGCAAAGCATGACCTAGACTGGGTGTGTCAGCACCCTGTTCAGCTGAACCTTAAAAGTGTCCAATGTTGGGGAATCCACCATTCCTGGAGAGATTATTCCAATGGTTGGTTGCATATATGTATACATAGGTATGCATGTTACTTTTTTTTTTTCTTTCTTACAACCTTAGGAGCCAATAATCCCAAGTCCAGATCAGTCTTCGTAGTTGGCAACTATATACAGGAGACAGATGTATTTGTAAAGCTGTCAAGGTTCTTTCTCTTTCCCTCTCTCAGCTGTCTAACTTGTCTTGGCTGGGCTGAAAGCTTAACCTTTCAAGACAGGTTTGTGATAATAGACTCAAAAGATGGACTAGGGAAATGTCTCAAGAAAAACAAGCAGGAAATCTCACCACTGTGAGAAATATCCATCCCTTTTAAGCATGATACGAGCTATGTTACCCTCAAAGCTCAACAGGAGGTATTTTGTTGTAATTTCTTTGTGTTTTGGTGGGGGAAGTCTTGAGAAGAGGGGAGCAGCCCTCACTCAGAGGAAGGACAGGAGAAGCTGCATTAGGAAGCCGTAAAGATCCCACTTAAGGAGTACTGAGATCAGAGAATGTATTTAATGTATTTGGTATGTTGGTAGCTGGCAGGCAGGCTTTTGCTGAGGAGGAGTACTACTCCCGAACTTTGGTGTGGTGGTCTCTCATAGGGAAATAGAGTGAGAAGCTGGCAAAACTGCTCTTCCCTTCACAGCCTTCCCTTGGAGCTTTAATTTAAATTGTGTTAAAGAAAAAATGCTGGTATTCTTGTCATCTGTCAGTGTCAACCACCAGAACGAGAGCATGCCTATGAGGGCATCCTGAGACTGTCCAGAAGATCAGGCACCACTGACCACCATCTAGGAAACAATCCAAATTAAATACAATGCAGTAGACACCCCATCCTCCCCCCGCAAGCTGAACTAACTCATGCTCTATGAGCAACAAGGAATTAATAGCTGTTTTACTTTGTGTGTTTGGAAGGTGCTTGCTTCTTCTGGTAATGGGAGCTGTGACTGGGAGATACCTAATGGGAGCAAGGGTGGAGCAGCAGGACTGGCATCAAAGTATTGATGCTTTGCATCACCAAATAATAAGTGATGTTTTGGCAAATAATTTTTACTTTGGAATGGAGATTATTCTTTAATATTTTATTATGTGGTAATGTTAATAGGTTTATGATGTTCTTTATTGCTTTTGTGCTTTATTTGGTTTGCTGATTACTTGCTTACTACAAGCTTTTTGGTTTTCTTTTGGAAAAATCAATTTATTTAGCTTTTGTATACGTAGCAGTTTAATTCCTCATTGCTCATTTGTATCTGGGTTTGTGCAATCAGCAATATCTGCTTTCAGCAGCAAGTTGCTAGAAGTGGGATTTGCAAGTTTTTTTTAGCAAAAGCTTTGGTGTCAAGTTCAGAGGAAAAATAAAGCAGATATGCTTATTCTTAAATGAACTTCGTGTCTGTAGTAAAAAAAAAAAAAAAAAAAAAGAAAAATTATTGATTGGGAATTAAAACAGTTAAAAATCATTTTCAGAAGAAGTTATCCTGAAAGTACAGCCAGGTAGGAGCTCCTTTGAAGGCCAGGGAAGGCTTGTCCATCAGGCTTGAAGAATCACACCCTGTGTTGAATTTGTAGTCTATTTGTTTTAACTGAAAGGCTTTACAAAACAGTCTTAAAATAATTTCTCATATTTATTAACTTAGATTTAAAGAGCTGTTTATGTAAGTGTTCAGATGGACCTTGTCTTGTGAGGAATCAGTTTTAGCGTTTGAAGGTTTAGTTCTTTTTAGTAACTGTATGGTATTTGCAACACGTCTGTCAGCATTACTCAACACAATACAGTTAAAGGTTTATGCAGCTGCCAATCTATCAGTTAAACATCAATTACTACTTTTTTACTGTTAGGAACTCTTCCTCTGAACATAAATATATAGAAAAGCTAAATACTTTTTTTTGATCTCCAATGTTGCATCTGAATGTTATGTGGAATAAAGATGAATCCAGTGCACATTGCGCAAGTCTCAAAAATTGATTTGTCATATTACAAAGGATACACAAGGGTAAGTACAACTCACAACATATAACTCATCTACAGAATTTTAGTTGTACCCCATAACAAGATTGGACATACTCTTTCAGTTTGTTTAGTTCAAGGTAATTGTTTACAAATACCTATTTTTCATTTCTCAAAGAAGCAAAGGCAGAAATGCAGTGTGATATACTAGAACTAAGAGAAACTCACTGATTGTTTCTAGAGACTGATTTTGGTGTCTCAATTTATGCAGGCCTCTTTCTAAAAGCAAAACCTCCTTTTGGAGTGAAACCATGTTGGCAGGTTTTAACAAAATACAACATTTGTCATATTTAACATTATTTAACAAAATGAGGAGTACATATTCTGCATATAAGAACTGAAAATTTTTGTCACTGTTATATGGCAGCATCAAAAGCAAATCTCTGATTTCCCCCATTCCCTCCAGTGTATCATCTCCTCTCAGGGTTCTGACAGGTTGCCACTGACCATGCTTCAAAACATGCCAGTACCTGATCTGAACTTGGATGTCACCAGGATGTGCTGGCTTGGCTGCTGAACCAGGTATTATTAAAAGTGCGAACAATGTGTTCATTCCTGATTTCAGGCTTACATAAGATTTTTATAATTTTAGGAATTATAAATGTTTTGTCTCTAGGCTCCAGGGTGTCTCAGAGCTCAAGGAAATTTGGGTATAAATATCAGGTCTTGGCTCTAGAGAGTTTAAAGATCACACTTGAGTTACTAGAGAGCAGAGATCAGACAGTAAGATAAACAAGCCAGGCCATGGATTGCAGTTTCATGGCATTTCACATGTCCAGTGCATATAACAAAAAAGAATCACTGCCCAGTGAAGGGCTAGAAAGGGAGCAAACCCAGGTATTCAGAGGAAGTATTTAAAGTCAGGCATACTGACCATACTTGATTTAAGCATAGAAATGGATCAATAAATGTATATTGGAATTTAAAAATGTAGTTTTCTTCTCACGCAGGAGTTTTCATGGGAGAGTGCAAGCATGTCTTGTGCCTTCAGATTTAATCTTTCCTGTATAAAGGGGGCCTACAAGAAATCTGGAGAGAGACTTTTTACAAGGGCATGTAATGACAGGACAAGGGGGAATGGCTTTCAAATGATAGAGGATGAACTTAGATATTAGGAAGGGTTGTTTACTGTGAGGGTGGTGAGGCACTGGCACAGGCTGCACAGAGAAGCTGTGGCTGCCCCATCCCTGGCAGTGTTCAAGGCCAGGTTGGACGGGGCTTTGAGCAACCTGGTCAGGTAGAAGATGTCCCTGCCCATGGCAGGGGCTTTGGAACTGGATGATTGTTAAGGTTCCTTCCAACCCAAACCATTCTGTGATAAAACGTCATAGCTGGGTCATGAAACTACTCCAATGCCGAAAAAATCTTCAGTTCTTCTGAATAGAAAATGTGTGTCCAGATGATGTTGTGGTTATTAGTGAGATCCAGGTTGACCAAGGAACAGTTCCTGTAATGCAGCTGGTCACAAGGGGAATACGAAGATGAAAGTGGTGGATGTAGACACACACTGTTGGCCCCTAATTGACCACAGTCAACTTCCACAGTGAGTGGAAATCCCTGTTCAGAACAGGAAACCTGAGAGGCTTGAGCATGCACAAAGTTAATGGGCAAACAAGTGGATGTCTCTCCACTCCTGCTCTTTGAAGGTTTCCTGTTTGCTTTGTTAATTCCTGGTTGGTTCAATAATATAAAACTTATGCAACATATGCAGAGACAGATTTCCCATTAGACTCGTACTGGCTTAGTTGATAACGTTTTCAGTTCATTAACCAGAGTGCCCCAGTGCAGAGTTCTGCTCGCCATCCTTGGGCACTGCTACTCCTGCACACCAGCCTCCACAAGGAAGCTGCTTAACAGTGCATCCACCTATGTGGCTTTGGAAAGAACACCTCATGCCCTGAAAAACAAAAAGCCATGTTTTTCTACACATGCATACCCGACATTGTCTTTTCCTCTTCTACCCCAGGCTGCCTTTTCATGCTAACCAGGTCTGGAAGTAACGTGGCAGCGACAGGCTACGGGAGCACTGGTGCTGCACCTTGCAAAACCTGAGGTTTATGTTGACCCCTGCTCAGACAGAGATTTGAAAAGCTGGGAGGAGGGGTATCCTTAGTTAATGCGGAGAAGTGGGGGGAGGAGTTCTCATGGGGTTTCACGCAACAGCTGGCTGCTCTGAAACGTCCTTTGGAGGACTTAGCCTTTTTCCATCAACTGCAAAGAGCACATGGAAGATGACTAAACTTTTACTTTGTGAATGCCACCTTTCCTCATCGTCTTTAATGGCCTCTGAGTACAGGTACTTGCATTTGGACATTTTTTGTTAATTAAGTCTCTCAATTAGCTTCTTAAAAGCCTTTATGAATTTCGACTTAAAGGAAGTAGGTTCTGAAATGAGAACCATCCAACAAGCGATTTCCTGGAGAAAAGAAGTATTGCAGGGATGTTATACTGCACCAGTGTATGCCTCAAGTACACTGCTCTAGGGGAAACATGTCAGTCTTAATATTGTCCCACAGAGAAACTAGTAGCTCTGAATCACCCCCAAGAAAATCAATTCGTTTTAAGACTTGTCAATAAACTGATATAAGAATCTCTTCCTTTTTTCAGGATAGAGATTATTTTTTTTTTTGTAATTATATGGCACCTTACTGTTTTTAATCTACTTTAAAACTGGTAGTTAAAATGAACAAACATTACTAAAAACATTGTGTGCATCTCTTAAATAATGCACAGAAGGTAAATCCTAGAGCAACGGTTTCTGAGTGACAGGATAGAGGATTACATTCACTGGTGAAAAGGAAGGATATCAAAATGAGATGCTTTGCCACTAAAGAAGGGATTTGAAAAGAAGACTAATTAAAAAAAGACTAAGACTAATTGAAAAAATAGAAACAAGGCTCTTTAAAATGCTGCTAGAATAAATTATAATTTAAGAGACATGAATGTGACTGAACAAAAGGACACTAGGAAAGCAGGGAATAAATCCAAATTAAATTTTTCAAGATGCTGTTTAAGCAATAGCGCATCTTCGCGATTTAGAAATTTGACCTAACACAAACAAGGGCAACTGATCACTCACAGGCGATGTGTACAAGGTTACATGAGCTGTACTGGAATGTGAAGAGCAAATACTTACACAATTGCAGTTGGCTTTATGTGTATATCAGATACATGAGACCTCAAACTGATCTGTTCGATATTAATAAGATTCCTAATGAGACAAATTATCATTTTGGATCAGTTTCCATTTAAGAGGCTGTTGGGATGGAGGCCTATAAGGATGCTGGGGAGGGACACTTCATGTTGGGATGGAGGCCTATAAGGATGCTGGGGAGGGACTGTAGTGAATAGGACAAGGGGTAACGGGTTAAACGGGAAGTTTAGATTGGATACAAGGCAGAAGTTCTTTACTGTAAGGGTGGTGAGGCACTGGAATGGGTTGCCCAGAGAAGTTGTGGCTGATCCATCCCTGGCAGTGTCCAAGGCCAGGTTGGACAGTCTTAGGTGACACAATTTACTGTGAGGTGTCCCTGCCCATGGCAGGGGGGTTGGAACTAGATGATCTTAAGGTCCTTTCCAACCCTAACTATTCTGTGAGTCTATGCTTCTGCCTGGGGATTGCATGTTCCTGGAATTGACGATGAGCTACTCTGAGAGGAGAAAAATACAGAAACAAAATGGAGATTGAATTGTTGTACATTATGAGATCTAAATAGTACAGAAAATCTAGAGAGTTTGTGGTGTCATGCTCTAAGACACCTTTTCCAAATGTTCATAGCCGATGAAGGGTCTGGAGGACACGTCTTAATAGGAGTGGCTGAGGGAACCAGGGGAGTTTAGTCTGAAGAAGAGAAGGCTCAGGGGGGACCTTACCACACCCTTACAGCTATGTGAAAGGAGGATGGAGTGAAGATGTGGCTGGTCTCTTCTCCCAAGTATATGGTCCTATCTCCCACGTGATAGGACAAGAGGTAATGACCTCAAGCTGTGCCAGGGGTGGTTTAGACTGGATATTAGGAA